TTATATTTAAAATATTTAAAAAAATACATACCACACCAGGAAATAACACACATTGTTTTATAAAATAATTACATATGCATTAAAAATAAAATAAATATATAAACTAACAATATTAACTGAAACATGTTTTGCTTTTGATTTTAAGACTAAACGGTATGTAATGTAGTTTTGTACGCAATGACTGCAACGCCAACGAGAACCACGTGACACACAGAAAGGAAGAAAGTTGATTTTCGGGGAATATTAAACCGTGAGGACAAAAATTAGGAAAAAAAAAACTTATCAAATAAACATAAAACAAAATAGTCAACAATTTGGAAAAATATTTATTTTTTGAAAGAAAAATGATAATATTATGGTAAGAGTCATGTTCTAAAAAAGCAGAATTTTGTTCATTAACGCAAAGGGGGTTTAAAAAAATAAATACAGATACAGCAAAGTTTCTGAGTTCAATATTTTTTTCTTTATGTAAAATAAAGGGGTTTTTGGTATTTAAAGTATGGTTTAAACTAACCACATGTTTAGAAAACATGCTGAAAAAACTTTTTCTAAATGAAAAAATTCACATGTCAGGAAGTTTAATAAAATTTTAGAAAATCACAACAAAAATTCTGTTCCGTTGATTGATGATAAATCAATAAATTAATGGTTAAAAAAATTCTCTGACACTCCTATCCCTCAAAATTCAAAATACATTTTCGCTCTGGGTCCAAAATTTTGTCTTCCACCTTACAAATCAAATTTTAACTTTATAAAGATTCTTGGCGGTTTGGAAATGGTTATTAATAAATTTAAAGATGCTGACAAAGAAACAAAAGTTAGATCGATATGTTGCAACAAGTTTTCATCTTTCATTAAAAAATCTGTTAATAATACTTCTTTACCTTTCCTTTCAAATATTTTAAGAGATATTATTATTACTGTTATTTTAAGGTATGAAGGTATTATTACTGTTATTTTAAACGAATGTGATTATTCCTCAAAAACTTTAGATTTATTAAATGATAAAATTTTTTTATAAACAGTTAGTGCAGTGGTCGGGGAACTTTTGGAACCATTACCCCAAAATGTTTTTGTGCAACCTCTCATTACCCCACAAAAAAAAAATTAACTAAAAGAGCCTATAATTGGAATTTGTTCGCAGCATATTTCTGTATAACCTGCCATAACCCGCAGGGTAACGGTTTGCTACATTGTTTGTTACTTCTAAACTTTGAAAAAGGCTGAGACAAATGGTTTGAAGGAAACAATAAGTAAAAACTATATTCTATATGAATGAATATATTTTTCATGATAATCCTACTAATACATGAATAAACTAGTGGTGTATGGCATCATGCCTTAACGCAAATTGCTGGAACTTTCCGCACCGTGACGAAATGTTCGAGAAATTTTAAAGGTTTTCAATTACATTATTATAAATACTGTAACATTGTATAATATTCATAAGATATATATAAGCTGAATTACAAAGTTAAAATTATTTATTTCAAGTATATAAGTGAGTTTTAGAACTTTAGCCAGAATTAAAATTAAAATCTGAATTATTTTCGATATACAAAAAAAAATTTTTGAAAAAAAAATTGAAAGATGTTTCTTTCCTAAAAGTAATTGTTTTGTCAAAACAAAAAGCAATTTTTTTTAATCATTCAAATCGGATGCTTAGTTCTCTCAAAAACTGCCATTTTTTTAACTTCCCGTAGGGTAAGTTATTGTAATGGGCCGAAAATCGGAATTGAAAATTTTTACATTTCTCGACGTTTTGAAGGTTTCTGAACGTTTTGGCATACCTCAGAAAAAATGGATGTGTGTGTGTGTGTGTGTGTGTATGTATGTATGGATACAAATTTCCAGTCACGTTTTAGGGCGCACGGATCAACCGATTTGAAAGGTTCAAAAAACATTCGATTCCTATTGATGGGGAAAAGAGCTGATTAGTTTTTGGCAAAGGCAGGTCCAGCCGTTTCGGAGATACGGAGCAAAGAGTGCAGAAAATAGAAATCGAATTTTTGAGAGAACGGAGTATCCGATTTGAATCATCTAAAAAACATTCAATTAGTAATGATTGGGAGAAGTGTTTATCAGTTTTTGGCAAAGGCAGGCCCAGCCATTTTGAAGATACGGAGTTAAATATGTAAAAAATGGCAGTTTTTGAGAGAACTAAGCGTCCGATTTAAATGATTCAAAGAACTTTCTGCTTGTCTTAACAAAATAATTGATTTTGGAAAAAAAAATTTGTTCCAACTTTTTTTTTTTTTTTTAGTTTTTTGTATATCGAAAATATTTCACATTTTATTTTTAATTCTGACTATTAGTTCTAATATACTTTATAAATAATTTCAACACTGCAATTCAGTTTATATAATTCTTATAAATATTAGACAATGTTTCAATATTTATAATAATCTATTTGAAAACATTCAGTATTCCTCGAACATTTCGTTACGGTACGGGAAGTTCCAGCAATTTGCCTTAAGGCACGATGCCATAATTGCCTCAAGACAGAATTCCACTTACAGCTAGTTTAATTTTGATAGCCACGTATTTAGTGCATGTCTCTTGATAAAATTTATATACTTGATAACATAATGAGTGCGGGTTATTTTCCCTTACAAAAGCTAAAAAACCATAAATATGACCCAGCATAGCTGGAGCTTTATCCAAAGACACCAAATTACAATTTTAATTTTTGCGCTTTGAAGTATTCGATTACTTTATTATAAATATCTATTCCACGACATCTGAACTCAAGAAGAAAACAAAACAGCAATTCCTTTTCAAAATTATCTACAGCTTTATTGCAAACATATACCAGTTGTGAATTACTACTGAAATCCGTTGTCTCCAGCTGAATAGCAAAATATTTAGTTTGTTTTAATGCAAAAACATCACATTTTTTGCTAATGCTAAGATTCTTTTCTAAAAGTAGGTTTTACTGAAGCTGATTTGAAACAAGCAAGATATTTAACTTGTTTTAGTGCGAAAACTACTCTCTCCTCCACATCTTCTGCTAATGCAGAAATTCTTTCCGATAGTAGGTTTTACTAAATCTGATTTCGTGCTTCGCAAATATATACTTTTTACCCCCAAAAATTCCACTTTTACCCCATTTGGGGTAATTTACCCCGGTTCCCCGACCACTGAGTTAGTGAATAATTTACAGATCATTTAAATAGAAAAACTTTAAAACTTATTGACGATTTGGTCAAAAAGAATCAGATTTCCAAATCACTAGGTTTATCTTTGAAAGTTTTCCATCCAAATTTTCCCAAACTTTATTGTCTTTCAAAAGTTCATAAACCGGATTTACTTCTTTGGCCTATCGTTTCAGACTTAAATTCACCTTTAAGCAAACTTTCAAAATATATAAGCAACATACTTTTTAAGATCACCATTTTGTCCAAATTTAATGTTTCTAACTCTTTTAATTTATTTATTGATTTAAAAAATTTGGTTATTTTATCTGATTATTCTTTAGTTAGTTTTGACGTTGTTTCGCATTTTACAAATGTTCCGTGGGACTTAGCTTTTGATGCTATTTGTGATCGTTGGAGTGAAATCCAGCCTCATACTTCTGTTGATTTGAATTGGTTTAAAAACATTCTATATTTTAAGTAATACATATTTTTGTTTCGAAGATGGTTTCTTTTCTCAGATTTTTTATTTACCAATGGGGTCCAGTATCAGTCCTCCATTAGCTGATTTAACTTTACAACTTTTAGAAAAATCGGTCTTATCCAAATTATCTTTTCAATCTGTTTTTTACTACAGATATGTTGATGATATTCTCTTATGTTTAAAAAGAATCACAATTTTGAAACATTAAATTATTTTAATTATTTCAATTACTATTTGCAGTTTACTTTTGCACTTAAATGGGACAAATCAATTGGTTTTTTGGATTTAAAAATCTTCAAAAGTAATTCAGACAACCGCATACTCACTGATTAGTATCAAAAACTAACCTAGTCTGGTAGATACATAAATTATTTTTCTTTACATTCACGCTCGAAAAGAATTGCCACTAGTATCTCCTGGATTGACAGAGCTATTTTACTCAGCGATAAAAACTTTTGGGGAAAAAATTTAAATTTAATTCGTTCAGTTCTTTGTGATAATTCTTACCTTCGCATTTAATAAATAACAGGTTAAATTTTTTAAAAATTAAATTTTTCACAGACTGATAATTTTATTTTTAATGATTTTTAAAAAGTTTTTTTTGACTAATTCAGATCCGTCTTTTACAAATAAATACAAAGGTATTTTTTCATTGCCATATTTTGGTAGTTTTTCACATATTTAAAAAAAAATTGTTTTTAAATGATGGTTTTCTGTTAGTTTTTTCTTTTGAAAATAATTTAAACTCACTTTTCACTCCCTTAAATTCTAAAACTCCAGTCGAGCGTGTTTCGGATGTTGTTTACAAAGTCAATTGCAATGATTATAATTGTTGTTATATTGGTGAAAGTTTGCAATATATTTACAAGAGAATGAACCAACACATTTGCAACTCAAGAAATAAGCATCAGTTTAAGACAACGTTTTCTGAACATGTGATTAGTTTAAACCATACTTTCAAAACCAAAAACCCTTTTATTTTACATGAAGAAAAGAATGTTGACCTTAGAAAATTTGCTGAATCTTTATTTATTTTTTTAAACCCCCTTTGCGTTAATAAACGAAATTCTGCTTTTTTAGTACATGACTCTTGTCATAATATTATAATTGTTTTTTTCAAAAAATAAATAATTTTCCAAATTTTTGACTATTTTGTTTCATGTTTATTTGATTTTTTTGAAAATCAACTTTCTTCCCTTCTGCGTGTCACATGGTTCTCGTTGGCGTTGCAGTCGTTGCGTACAAAACTACATGACACACAGTTCACTATTAAAATCAAAAGCAAAACATGTTTTAGTTAATATTGTTAGTTTATATATTTAATTTATTTTTAATGCATATATAATTATTTTATAAAACAATGTGTGTTTTTTTGTGTTTTTTTCTTGGTGTGGTATGTATATTTTTTAATTATTTCAATTATTTTAAATATAAAATCAAGGTTATTTAAAAAAAAAATCTTTGTAAATATTTTTTAGATACTGTTAACAAATAATTGCTGCATGATGACACACAATTCGTGTCGAAACGTATATTTTAAATAAATATTTTATATTTATTTTTTTCTTTTATTTCGACGACTGGCTGAAAATCATATCAAGACATGTCTCAACGTCGAACAAAAAAACCTAATTATATATATATATATATATATATATATATATATATATATATATATATATATATATATATATATATATATATATTAAAATATGTGAGTCTGGTGTTGATATATATTTTGATGATTTATTTAGAATCGGGCAGTAACACCCATACATTCAACACCGTTCGGACATTTTTCACCAAATGATGTCTTATGTGAAATAAAAAAGAAGAAAAACAAATCTTCACCAGGTATGAACAAAATTACTCCAAAAATGATAAAAGAATTGCCTATAAAACGTATTTTATATATAAAAAATATTTTCAACGCAATCCTTCAATATAATTATTGGCCCACAGCGTGGAAGATTGTAGAAATTATTATGATTGCTAAACCAAACAAAAACCATCACACTGCTAGTTCCTACCGTCTTATCACTCTTTTGTCGATGTTATCAATAATTTTAGAAAATTTTTGTTGAAAGGATTGTCAGAAGATCATCCCAATGATAGTTGGATTCCACACCACCAGTTTGGCTTCAGAAAAAACCACTCTACAATTCAACATTCCAACATAACGGTGTTTTGTATTTTTGAAGCCATGGATAGAAAGTGACACGGCGTAGCAGTATTTTCAGATGTCAGCCAGGGTTCTGATAAGGTTTGGCACTCAGGACTTCTATATAAGAACAAAACAATGTTTCCAAACTACTTCAATATCTTAAACTCCTTTTTGCTTGATAGAAAATTTAGAATCAAAATTAAAGATGTGACTTCGAGCATTAGAAATATAGAATGCGGGGTATCATAGGGCAGTGTGCTAAGCCCCGTACTTTATCTCCTTTTCGCAAGCGATATGCCCACAAATGATCTTCTAACCATATGCACTTACGCCAATGACATAGATATAACTTCATTCAATTTTGATACTACAAGAGCAACTTGTCAGTTGCAAAATTATTTATCTTGTCTCGAAAAATGGTTTTCAGAATGGAATATCAAAATCAATATCAAAAAACCTCAGCACATAATTGTTTTACTAAAACGCCACAACAGTCCACCTATCATCATAAACAATTCAATAATTCCACTACGCAACACTGTTAAATATTTTGGCATGCACATCGATTCGAAATTGACATGGAGAATTTGCATTGAAAATAAATATAAACTAATCCAACTGAAAATAAAAATTCTTTACTGGCTTCTTACTGGGAGGAAATCTGAAATCTCTCTCGATAACAAGGTACTTCTGTACAAAACTATCATAGTGCCCATTTGGACTTATGGAATCAAACTACGGGGTTGCTCTTGTAAATCAAACATAAACATCATTCAAAGGTGCCAGAACAAAATTCTGCGTATCTTAACTAATGCGCCTTTATCGAAATGGCCTTTCGATCCACCAAATGCCTAGCCCAATGTCGGAACGCGCCCTAACTTTTAGTACGCGGCATCCATCACCTCGTAATAGTTTAATTATGTTATTATTTTTATTATAGTATTAGTATTATTTTGTGAAAAGAGATATTTATGACCAAAAAAAGGTTAATGAAAATCGGCAAAAAAAATTTTTTTCAACAGTTAATTTAAAAAAAAACGGCTTGATAGATTTTTACCTAAAACTAATCAGTATCAATATCAACTAATATTTTCGAACAGTTTTTGATTTTTTAAAATTTAGAATTCAGAGCTAAAACGTGGAGGAAAATTATTTCTCTTTTCTGTTATTTACACAAAAACGGCTCAGCCGATGGTCGCGCAAAACTGAGAAAAGATAATTTACATCGAAATACATCGTGCAGGCGTTTTTAAGCAAATGTCGATGACAGTTCTAATTTTGACAACCGCCAAAAAACAATACTAATTTTTGTAAACTTTGATGATTTTTTTTTAAATTTAATGACTTGTCGTAAAACCTAGTAATATTTAGTATGATCTATAAGATTATGGTATCTACCGTAAAAAAATTATAAAAATCATCGAAAAAAAATTTTGATACTTTATTAAAAGAAAACGGCCCTGCCAATCTTTACCAGAAACTAATCAGCACGATTCCCAAGCAATATCTTCTGGACGGTTTTTGAATTTTCAAAATCTTTTCAGAAGTGCGGGCTAAAACCAAGACAAACTAGTTGGATGTATGGCATCGTGCCTTAATGCAAATTGCTGCAACTTCCCGTACCGTAACGAAATGTTCGAGGAATACTGAATGTTTTGAAATAGATTATTATTAATATTGTAACATTGTCTAATATTTATAAGAATTTTATAAACTGAATTGCAATGTTGAAATTATTTGTTTAAAGTATATTAGAACTATAGTCAAAATTAAAAATAAAATCTGAATTATTTTCGATATACAAAAATTTTTTTTTTGAAAAAAAAAATAAATTTGAAAAAAAAGTTGAAACAATTTTTTTCCAAAATCAATTATTTTGTTACGATAAGCAAAAAGTTTTTTGAATCATTTAAATCGGACGCTTAGTTCTCTCAAAAACTGGCATTTTTTGCACATTTAGCTCTGTATCTTTGAAATGGCTGGGCCTGCCTTTGCCAAAATCTAATAAACACTTTAACCAATCATTACTAATTGAATATTTTTCAGATCATTCAAATCGGATGCTCTGTTCTCTCAAAAACTCGATTCTTATTTTCTGCACTCTTTGCTCTTTATCTCCGTAACTGTGGACCTGCCTTTGCCAAAAACTAATCAGCTCATCTCTCTATCAATCGGTCATTCAAATCGGTTGATCCGAGCGTCCGAAAACGTGACTGGAAATTTGTATTCATACATACATACTCACACACACATATATACACATTCATTTTTTCTGAGGTATGCCAAAATGTTGAGAAACCTTCAAAACGTCGAAAAATGTAAAAAATTTCAATTTCGATTTTCGACCCATTACAATAATTTACCTTACGGGGAGTTAAAAATGTTTCACTTTTCTGCTATTTACAAAGAAACGGCTTGGCTAATCATCACGCTAGTCCTCATCGAGATACATCTTTCAATTTTTCTGAATTGGTCCAGCCGTTTTCGAGAAAACGTCGATTTACGAAAAAATCTGTTTATATATACACACACACGCACATACGTTTTCCAAAGGACTCATTCGATTCAAAATTGCTTCAAACGTCGAGAAAACATAAAATTTTGATCGGAAATTTTGATATTTTGATGAAAACAAACTTTTTCTTCGGAAAGTTAATAGATTGTTACCAAATAGTCTGCTAAATTATTTTTCAAATTCTCAACGGAAAAACTTTGAAATATAGTAATAATTCACACTTTGACAGTTGAGTGTTCTAAATATTTAAATTTACTTAACATTCACTTCAAATTTTCATACCAGAAATTAATGCCACCGCACCCCCAGATGCGATATTGCGCTCAAATTACTTGACAGAAAAATAAAATGGGGAAAATAAGGTCGACCAAGTAAAATGTGTACTTTGCGATAAAAATCACCCTGCTAACTATAAAGGCTGTCACGTCTATGAAGACACATTGAAAAAAAAACTTCATTTCGTCAGAAAACAACTAATATTCAAAATTTGAATACAAACGCTACTTTAAGATTAGGTGTAACTTACTCCAATATTATTACAAACAACGCAACTTTCCCTGCCGACTCAACGAACACAATTATTATTATAAATATTGTAACATTGTCTAAATTTCAGCTTTGTTTCCAAATCATTATTAAGTGTATAATCTTGGTGTAAGTGGCAACTTTGCCTTAGAGCAAGGTGCTTGATTTTTTAAACATGTGTAAATAATCGACATAACTATAAAAAATATATTAATTCATGAATGAATTGCAATGTGAAAAACTATCGCAGATTATTCAATTTTGTACAAATTTTGTAAACGTGTTAGTTATCTTTTAAAAATGGTTAAAAATTATATATTATTGAAAAAGAAATAAACGTGTAGTGTGTTTATTAAGAACAGGATCCAAAATCGCCAAAAAAATTGTTAATTAATAACTGAGAAACGACTCGACCGATCATTGACAAAAACAAAAACTAATCAAATTCTCCAATTCTCAAATGGTTTCTTTGTAATGGTTTTTGAATTTTCGATTCACGAAAGGTTATAACGTCGACAAAAAATTTGACACTTTTTTGACAATTCTAGAGAAATGGCTCGGCCAAAGGCCAAATTAACCAGCACGAACCAGCACGTGCTTATCGAATTTTCAAATAGGATTGCGCATTTTTAAGAAAACCGTCGACTAAAGCTGAAATTTTTCCTTATGTGAAAAAGTGCTGCTAATTTTTTCAAACTTTGATAATATTTGGAAAATTAAAACGACTTGTCGCAGGATCGACATATTTAGTTAAATTTGGGATCATGATCTCTACCGCCAAAATTTAAAAATATCATCGTAACAAAAATTTAACAAATAAATACGAAGAAACGATCCGACCGATCGTTAACTAATTAGCATGATTCCCAAATGATATCTTTCAAGTTTCTGAACGATGCATAATTTTTGGCTAAAACGTGTACGAAAATTTGTATACTTTTCTGTTGATTAGATACGACTTGGCCGATTGTTGCACAAAACTGACAGACGGAAGTCGTTAACTAGTTACATTATAACTTTTAAATTTTTGAAATCAATTTAACCGTTTTTAAGAAAACGTTGGCAAAAGTCAAAAACACACTTTTTCAAATTTGGTCTGAAACGATTCAGAATGACGAAACGTTGAGAAAACATGAAAATTACAAGTCGATTTTTTGTGAGAACATACTTGATATTTTCCTACTAAGTTATTTTCAAGGGCGGCCAAAAAATGCTCGCACGCAGGCGGCCACATACCCAGGCACGGCCCTGTTAGAACTATAGTCAGAAACTATAGTCTCGAAAGACCTCTGGTTGGACAGCCGCGCACTCCTTAATTAATCATACCTCTATCAATATAGTAAGGCACTAAATCGTACTGCAAACGTGTTCGCAAAGTGCGCAGACAAAATTATTGCAAGCAAAAGCAAACCACGCACACGTTGAGAACACGATTCGCGGTGCGCGTCAGACGCATGCGCAGACTGCACCACTTGTCAGATGCATATTATATTATTTGCATCTTATATTATTTTAATTTTTGGCACATCTCAGCTGCTTTTCGGCAATAATAATGTAGACATTACATTTTCCTTATTTATTTGTTTTTAATGTCAAACCATGCCTTAAAATTTTTCAAGGTTAAACAATACTAAGCGGTTTTTTTGTAATTTTTTCCATTTATTTCTACAATCTAACTATATTTCTATAAATATAAAAATTCTAGAAAATTTCCCGAACAAACTTGAGGAAGATTCATAATATTCCGAATTATAGTTTAGGAGGATTAACCATTCATACATAGTTACAAAAAAATTTTATGTATTAGATATAATATATATATATATATATATATATATATATATATATATATATATATATATATATATATATATGGAATGGGCCAATTTTTTGCATATTGAGGCACCTCGCTAATTTAACGTTTTACAACATTTGAGAAAAATATTGTAAATTGAAGCATAACCCGCAAATGAATTTAATGCCAGCGAAGAATTTGAAACTTTCTTGAATTTGAGGAAAA